TGATGAAATATCTCCCAGAGAGCATTCCCCAATACATGGTTTAAAAACAAAACAAAACAAAACAAAAAACCTACCTAGGTACCTATGTATCTAGCTAGCTCGCTTTCATCAGCTATCTATCTCCAGTATAATTAACATACAGTGTTACATTAGTTTCAAGTAGATAACGATTCAACAATTTTATACATGACTCAGTGCTCATTAAGACAAATGTATTCTTAACCCCCATCACCTATTTCACCCATTCCCCCGTCCATCTCCCCTCTGGCAACCACTTTCTTCTCTGTATTTAAGAGTATGGTTTTTCTGTTTGTCTCTTTTCTTTCTTTGTTCATTTGTTTGGTTTCTCAAATTCCACATATGAGGGGAATCATATGGTATTTACCTTTCTCTGACTTGTTTCACTTAGCATTATACACTCTAGATCCACCCATGTTGTTACAAATGGCAATTTCATTCTTTTTTTGGCCGATATATATATCTTTTCAATCCTCAATACACCTTTTAACATCACTCTCGATCAGAGTGTATTTTTCCAGACTCCAATCTAAGAGCACAGATAAATATAGATAAAAAGTTGTCTTTCCATTATCCTGGAATTGCTGTTAAGATCAAAATCTGAAGAAAAAAACTTCTAAAAGCCCCCATTCTAAGTTGAAAATCACAATGGAAGTTGTACCTAACCACATCCCTGCAAGGCTTACAGAGAATGCATTTCCAAGAAGAAACCAAAACCCCATTTCCCTGCCTCTGACTATGACAAGAAGAAGATTCGGACAGAGAAAGAGCCTCTTGGAGAAAAGTTTTCAAGATAAACCCTATTTTTTGAAGGGGAGGAAAAGAAATTTTCTCAGCTATCAGAACAAGTCCGGAAAGCACAGAAGAGTTTCTGGTAAATTCTGAAGTGTGTTAGAACTATCACTCACACCTTCTCCAAGTTGCAGACTCACATGAAGCTTGGCAAGCCATTCAGTCTGTGGGGTCTGAAGCTCATGCTTCATGGAGAAAGGGGCAAGATGACAGCCTTGAAGGAGGCCGCAATAGTGAAAGAGCCTGCATTATCCCTCCTTGGCAGCCCAGGGTATATGAGTTTCCTGGTAGCTGAATGAGCGCAAAGAAAGCAGCTGGCCTTGAGCCCTTCTCATGGTATCCCATCTAACAAGACCAGGCCTGGGGTGGAAAATTCTACCACGTGAAGCAGACTTCCCATTCTAGGGATGCTGAATAATCCACAAAGTTTACTCTATTAGTGAGTCAACTTTTGGAAAAGGGATATAATAACCAGTCAGTGTTGAGGGGCTAACCCCAGCAATAGCTTCTTTGTAGGCACACTTGGACCTTCTTCCGTCTTTCTCTTGGTGGCATTATCAGAAAGGAAGGCAGAGAAATGGGACTGTGAACGTAAAGAATTTCCCTCCACTTCAGCCCCTAGAGCTACAAACAGGTCTTTGCTGCACCAGGGGATGGAAAGGTCTTACACAGCAGGAAATAAGAGTTCATCGTAGCCAAGTTGGGAGTAGCTATCGCCAACCATAAAACCATTTCATAGGATCGCGAGTCCTCTGTAAACCTGGTAAATATATACACTTCAATAAGTATTGATTCAGCTCCTTGCATTATACTGTACCAGGTGTTAGAGATACCTTGATGAGCAGAAAGAGGTGGCTCCTGCCTCTTCTGGAGTACACAGTTTCTTGTCTCCTTTTGCCTGCCTGTGTCTCTGAATCACTCTGTCTTCTTCTCCCTCTGACAGACTATTCTTCCAAGAAAGTTAAGACATCATCATCCATTAATTACTGCTTATTTTTTTTTAAGCAACATAAGGGAAATTTGCCCAGAACACATTTTGAGAAGCAAAGAGACTGCATTTTCTTACTTCAAGTACTATACATTAAATTTTGCCAACATTCCTTTCTCAACCACATTTCCCAAAAGCTTAGCACTTTGCCATAAAAGTTCACCCCAGTCTAAAATTTGGCATGCCTGAAGGCAAAGTCTTCAAATTTGCCAATTTGGCTAACATCTCCGTTTTGAATAACAAGTAGAGAAATAGGAAAAAACTGGAGTGAAATGCTGTAAATCATGGCATTATTTAGACAATTCATTTCTTGGGATAATCACAGGTTTAACAGAAATTTACCCTAAATTATGGTAGATTTGTTGTCAGATTTTTTACAAAAATTTAAAATCTGCATAGAAATATAATATACAAATTTAATTAATATACAAACTTCTGAGACTTTCAATTCTATTGAAAAATCTTTTTGTATTACTTACACATGACTATTACTTAATTTCAGAGGACATTTCAGATTAAAACAAAAGTGACAAAACAAAAACTCCTATCTACATAGCATATATGGATATATACGTAAATTATAAAGAATTATATACTATGTATATAATATCCTAAAATATAAAGAATTATAAAGATATATAGCACATATGCTGATAAACTGTACATATACATATATATACACATATATACATACATATATATATTTGTACACACACACATACACACACTCACAAATGTGTGTGCATATACATGGTACTAGAATATTTGGCAAAGAGCTTTTGGGAGGCTTTTGTTAGTTTTGTTGGAAGTAACTCTAGGCATGTGGGATTAAAGGATTTAATCCTATCCATTGATATACCTTGTGTAGTTGGGCTTGAGGTATTTGTACATAAAGACAGAATCATGTTGGATCTGTAAACATCATTTGTAGGATGGATTTTTAAAAGCGGTGATTGACAGAATTCCACAGAGAAAGCCAATATAGAATAAATGTGTGTTCTAAGGATCTGCTTCCAGGCAGGACTACAGAAGGTTCTGTCCAAGGCACTGACCACATTTCTGCAGTTCTTCCTGTTTCCCACACTTTCTGAAAAATGAAACACTCTTGCAACTTTCCAGATTCCCCATGTCAAACTGTCACACAACTGGAATAATTAGAAAACACTATCTTACCGTTCTCATTTACAAAGATAAATCATGTGTAGTTAGTAATCCTAATTTTGCAAATATTGGTTAAAAATCATGTGATACAGATCCCCACATTTTCATACAAGTACAGAAGCATTTGTCTGGAAATTCTATCTTAATATGAGGTGCACACTAATAAAGCCTCGATGACCACAAATAATGGCACAAACACTGGATTCTCAAGGTAACCATAGGGTTTTCCCAACTCCCTCTTTAAAGAAGTATTTGGCACAATTCTCTTGCCACTCCTTAAGAAAATTCAGAATTATAAAACGTAATTCAAAACTACTATATATTGTATTAATGGTTCAGGAAGCATCTTTTCAAATGAGCTATGGGCATAACATGTTTATTTCCATAATTATTGCAGCAAACCTAAATTTCCTTGAATAATTTTTTTTTGAAAGGACAACCTTCAGATTTCACATCACGCAGTCTGAAACTTCATAGGTTTTGCTCATCAAAAGCCATTATGTCATAAGCCCTGCACGTGAAACACATGCCCTAGAGCAACAATCTTAGCAAGTTTTGAGACTTCCTGGGCTTGACATCACAGTTGTCTCTAGAACAATCTTGACAATATCCATCTATGTTATAGCAGAACACCTTCACCAAAAGATGAAATCTCCACACATTTAGTAGACAGAATGGGAAAGCAGACCTTTCGTATTATTGGAGGTAAGGAGTCAAAGCCATCAGTTGAATACCATGTTCACTTAAAAGCCAATAGGCACTAATGTTGCGAATAAATAGGGAAAGAAATTTCCTCTAGTGATACTTCAAAGACTTTGCAACATCTGGAATTTGGTTCCATACAGGGTATTCCACTAAAAAGTAAGTATAAAAAGATTTTAATAGGGCAAACAAGATTCAGGTTTCTTACAATGTGTTCTCCCCGGGGGGAAACAAATAACACAATGCATCTGACTAACCTTTCTGCACTTCAGCTGCATTAATTAACATTTAGTCATGGATTCCATCATGAGCCAGATGAACTCAGTGCTACAGCTGTTTCCAGTGAGGGGAAAAATATGCTTCCACATTTCAGATTCCCAGGATTTATAAATCCAGGGAAAAATGTTTTATTGACTCCCTTGTGCCAGCATTATTGATATGCATTACATATTAGTCACCCAAATAAATTCACACACACCCTAGACTGTGATTAAATCAGTGTCAGTATCACATGAACTGGGTTAGCCCGAGCCAATGCTATAAAAACCACATTCCTAACCCTTTTTCTTACATCAAGAATTAAGGAAGGGCTAACGAACTGATCAAAGAAGTAGATAATGGCCTTGAAAAAAAATTGTTGTTGAGTGAGTCAAACATTTAAGTGGAGATCAGGTACTCTGAGAGAGAAGGATGCAGATGACTAGAAAAAACTGAACAGATGTTGAAGAAATTTAACTGCAGGATCTCATGGCTTGACAGAGACATCCGCAATGCTATAAGCCAAACATGTGGAAGTGGTTGTTTGGGAGCAAAGCTGATGTACAGAACGGCAATGCTTGGTTAGTCACTGAAAGAGGATTTTTGTTGTTTTATTTTTAGAGTAAAGATTCCGTTAAGATGTAATTTGTAAGGAAATATGACAGTGAATCAGCTGGGCAACGCAGTCCACCTGTAATATCTTGCCAAATTTCTTATCACGAGAGCACTGTAAAACTAATTTTGTCTCCAATAGTCCCTTATAAATGCCGTGTCATGACTTCTGGTCAACTCTGGAGTCTCATGAACAAATGGATATCCAATAGTCATGTGGCCATGTGTGTAGTGTGTGTGGGTGTGTGCGCGCGCGTGCGTGCGTGTGTGTGTGTGCGCATGCGCGCGCAATCATTTGTACTGGGGTACAACTCTGGAATCATTACCTGTGTAAATACTAAACAAACTTGGCACTTGCCTTTTCAAATTAATGTTCTTAGCCACAACTCAAGAAGAATAAAGGTTGTGTGTCTTCACTTTTACCAACATGGAATGGTAAAAACTTAATCAAGCCAGAAAACTCTCTTACCTGGAACTACTTCAAAAAGGAATTTTCCTGGGCTCTCTTCATTGCAGGGATGCTCAAGGACTTTATTTCCAGGCAGAAAAATGGTACCCTGTGAACACAAAGGCCCCAAACATCAACATCATCAGAAGGCAAATACTGAATATCATCATCCTCATCAGTGGATATCCAAGGTGTATCTGTAATCCAGTATACAGTAATATGCATCAGACTCATTTATATTCCCAACTGATCAAACATCATGGAACAGAATCATATTCATTCAACTTTTAATAAGTATTTGTTGACCACCTAATGTGTACAAGACACTGTATTAGGTGCTGAGTTCATTTTAAGCACCGATTTATTAAATGCATTCTGTGTGCCAAATTTTTACTGAGTATTCTACCAACATTATATTATTTAATTGTTAGAATTTAGTTGTTACAATAGTCTTATAAGTTAGGTATTATTTTCCCCATTTTACAGCTGTGAAAACCAAGGCAATGATATAAATAACTTAGCCAATGTTACCAGAGCCTTCTCTTGATTATTCCTTCTCTTTTCTGTTAGATTTCTCTCTCTTTAGTGTATTATTTCCATTAGAATTGAGATATACTTAAAATTCTATCCTAAAAAAAGATGGGCGGCACCCGGGTGGCTCAGTTAAGCGTCTGCCTTTGGCTCAAGTCATGATCCCAGGGTCCTGGGATCGAGCCCCGCATCAGGCTCCCTGCTCAGCAGGGAGTCTGTTTCTCCTTCTCCCTCTGCCCCTTTCCCTGCTCGTGCTCTCTCTCTCTCAAATAAATAAATAAAATCTTTAAAAAAAATAAAAATTAAAAATAAAAGATATTACTTTGACTACCCCCTCCAGCTATCATCTTTTTTTTTTCCTGGCCTAGTAAAGAGTTGCCTACATTGAATCTATTTCCTTACATATATCCACTGCAGCCTGGTTTGTGCACCCACACTTCTAATTACATGATTCTCACAAGTCGCATGCTTGACAATTTTCAATCCTCACTAAATTATGACTTCCTAGGAATATTCAGCACTATTTTTTTTTCAAGATTTTATTTATTTATTTGAGAGAGAGAGAGAGAATGAGAGATAGAGAGCACGAGAGGGAAGAGGCTCAGAGGGAGAAACAGACTCCTTGCTGAGCAGGGAGCCCGACATGGCACTCGATCCCGGGACTCCAGGATAATGACCTGAGCCGAAGGCAGTTGCTTAACCAACTGAGCCACCCAGGCGCCCCAATATTCAGCACTATTAACCACTCTTTCTTGAAGCACCTTCTTTCCTTGGTTTCTTGGTTTTCTTCAGGTTTTTCTCTTGGTTTTGTGTTGAGTCTCTTACACTGACTCCAAGTGTCCTTTAAATATTAAAGTGTTTCAAAGATGTATCCAATGATCCCTTCTCTTCTGACTCTATTCTCTCTGGGAGCTATCTCTTTCATGCCTATGACTTCAATAACCAACTATAAACCAATGAACATCAGATTACTATTTCTAACTCAGGGCTCTCTGAGCTTCAGACCTTTATATCCAAGAACTGATTTGAATTCCATCTGGATATCTCAAAAGCATCTTAAATTAAATTTAGTCAATTTTTTAAATTAACATATAATGTATTATTTGTTTCAGAGGTACAGATCTGTGATTCAACAGTCTTACACAATTCACAGCACTCACCATAGCACATACCCTCCCCAGTGTCTATCACCCAGCCACCGCATCCCACCCACCCCCCACCACTCCAGCAACCCTCAGTTTGTTTCCTGAGATTGAGAGTCTCTTATGGTTTGTCTCCCTCTCTGGTTTCATCTTGTTTCATTTTTCCCTCCCTTCCCTTATGATCCTCTGTCTTGTTTCTCAAATTCCTCATATCAGTGAGATCACAACCGACAGAATGGGAGAAGATATTTGCAAATGACATATCAGATAAAGGGCTAGTATCCAAAATCTATAAAGAACTTATCAAACTCAACACCCAAAGAACAAATAATCCAATCAAGAAATGGGCAGAAGACATGAACAGACATTTCTCCAAAGAAGACATCCAAATGGCCAACAGATACAGGAAAAAGTGCTCAACATCGCTCGGCATCAGGGAAATCCAAATCAAAACCTCAATGAGATACCACCCCACACCAGTCAGAATGGCTAAATTTAACAAGTCAGGAAATGACAGATATTGGTGAGGATGTGGAGAAATTTAGTCCATTTACATGCAATTATTTTGAGTCCTGTTTATGTATTCCCTAGCTTTGTGACTGGCATCTTCTTCCAATCAGTTGCAAAAGCCAGAAAATGTAGGAGTCATCATCTCTAGTATATCTCTACTTCCACCACTCCCTAGTTCAAGTGACTATTGTCTGCAGTCTGGTATGTTTTGTGTGTATGTGTGTGTGTGTGTGTGTGTTTTAAGATTTTATTTATTTGAGAGAGAGAGAGGGAGAGAGCACAAGTGGGGGGAGGGGCAGAGGGAGAAGCAGACTCTCTGATGAGCAGCGAGCCTGACATGGGGCTTAATCTCAGGACCCCAAGATCATGACCTGAGCCGAAGGCAAACGCTTAACTGACTGAGCCACCCAGGTGCCCCTGTGGTCTGCTATGTTTCAAATTCACTGAATTCCCCATAATACTCAAAAATCTTTCAATCCACTTTTTTCCTTAATGTAGTCAAAGTATCGTTAGAAACAGAAATTTCACCTTGCAAGTTTCTTGCTTAAAAATCTTCAATGCCAGGGCACCTGGGTGGCTCAGTCATTAAGCATCTGCCTTCGGCTCAGGTCATGGTCCCAGGGTCCTGGGATCGAGCCCCACGTCTGGCTCTCCGCTCAGCAGAGAACCTGCTTCTCCCTCTCCCTCTGCCTGCCTCTCTGCCTACTTGTGCTGTCTGTCAAATAAATAAATCAAATTAAAAAAAAAAAATCTTCAATGCCTTTCATTTGTCCTAGGATAAAGTTCTGGAAGGTCTATAAGCTCATTTTTCTACTTTTTGCTTTTGATGCTTTCTATGACTTTCTATAATCAAGCCGGTAAATAAATAAGTAGTATCATAAATTCTCTAAGTAGTATCATACTCCCGTCTACCTTAGGATTACATTCTTTCCTGGATTATTTTATAACCACTGACTGAACATCCAAAATATACTTGCATAGCTTCCAGAAAATTTTCCTGCATTGATTTCCATTGTATGCAATTATGTTATTTGTAAAATTATTTGATTAATGCCTCTCTCCATCATTAAACTGTAAGGGAACAAGGATAATATATGTTTTGCTCCCTAATTTACCACCAATGCCTAGTATTTTGCCTGCCATAAAGTTAATGCTAAAAATTGTTGAGTGAATCAGTACCGTGAGTGTAGTAAAGCCAAAATTCAAAACCAAGCATGCTGGATTTAAAAGCCTGTGCTATTGTGAACCATATTCTATCCTCCAGTTTTGCCAGTTTGAAGCGATATTTAGCTCAAGTAATACTGTACTCAATTTTTATCCTACCTGGTTTGGCACAGAAAATTATAGTCATCAACTCCGTCCACTTCTAGGCTTAGAGTGATCAAGCATAACAGTCCCTAACTAAAGCCCAAGGAATTATATGTTAGACATACCCCTTTCTGTCCCTGCTTACAAGATGAAATGGTGGAGATATTGCCTTTGTTTTCCTCCTCCAGGAAGCAGATTTTCCTACTTCTCATCATATCTAGTGTGTCTAGCCTATGGATCCCATTTTGTGTTCCAGGACTTTTCAATAATTTTTAAAAAAAATTACTAAGTACTTTGAAAATATTCATCATAATTAAGATCTTTTTTCTATAGGTTTAATCTATATGGTTTCCATATAAAATGATAAAATCATTGCTTCAATTAAGAGTTTATTTTACTTACTGAAATGATTTTGTGAAGTCATTAAATTTCTGATTTAGCTGAGTGTTAGAACATAGCATCTCAACTTCTAGATAGACGCAGTATTCATTTATGCATGCATGTGTGCTTGTATACTTGCATGTGGGTCTGTATGGCTCCTGTTTAATTCTGTGCCTTCAGGCTCTACTTAGGATCTTAAAACTGTACACACATTGTATAAGTTTAATTCAAGCCACTTTCCTGCACAAATAATTCTCCTGCAAGAGCCATTCTCCTTCAGGAAATCCCCAACCACCTCACTTGGTCATTAAAAGGTAAAGTAGTGCTATCCTTTGTTGTCTTTGTCATACATGTGAAATAGCTACTTCTGGCTTAAATTTTGTTTTCATTTTCAAATTTGACATCTTACAGATTTTATATTTTGGCTGTTTTCCAAATAAATTGTGATGTCAGCATAATAGTTTAAATATCAGCAAACAGTGGTTAGGGCAGGATATATTGTAACTGACAAAAATTTGCTCTGGTTAATTCTTTAAGTCATTCAGTAAGTAAAATAAAATTATTTAATCGACACTGCTAACTCGATCACCTTGTATAGAAACCATATAGTTAAAGTCTATAACTGAGAGAAGAGTCTTTTTTTTTTTTTTTTTTTTGACAGGGAGAGTGTACAAGCAGGGGAAGCAGCAGGCAGAGGGAGAGGGAGGGGCAGGCTCCCTGCTCAGCAGGGAGCCCAATGCGGGGCTCGATCCTAGCACCCTGGGATCATGACCTGAGCCAAAGGCAGACGCTTAACCGTCTGAGCCACCCAGGCGCCCCTAATTGAGAGAAGAGTCTTAATTGTGATAGTTATTTTCAAAGTACTCTGGAATTTTATATTGTTAGAAAATGCAGATAAATTTAAAAAATCTGTAGTTTACCCACTGCCATAGATAATTAATATTAGCCGTATTTGTATATATTTATGTATATATGTGTATTAACATCTACAGTTGACTTTTACAAAACTATAATCAAAAAAAGCCTAATTTATTATCTCCTCCAAAACTTAAAAATCATGTATTGTTATTATGCCAATTTAATAATTAACATCATTTTTAAAAACTAAATAGTATACTAAATAGTATAGTGCTTGTTTGAATATACATGCTTTCACATCCTCTGTTGTAAAGTATTTATGTTTTTTTGTAAGTGTTACTATAAAGAATATTTTCATGAACATCCATGAAGCTAAATC